TAGAGAAATCGTATTTGTTTTTTTTTTTTTTTTAGGGAGGGCGAGATCACGGGAGGGAAGGGCAGGTTGGGTAATGGGCCATAGAAAATAAGAAAAAAGGAAAAAAAATATTATTTGATCAGGAAAATAAATGAATAACCATAAGTTAGTTGATGTTGTTTATTATAATTTTACACTGGTTTAATTTTAAAATAATTATTAATTTTATTTAAAATTTCTCATAAATTAATTATTTTTTTAATTTTTAAGAGAAACTTTTTTTTTTATTTTAATCTTATTGTTATAAATTAATTTTAATTATCTACTCCATCATCAAAATTTTCTCTTTATTTTTATTAATTTTTAACAATAATATAGATAAATAAATAATTACTCTTAAATTTTTAATTAACTAAAAAGTAAAAACTGACATTTATTTTAAGATAATTGAAGTTGTTATGCTCATAATTTAAATTAAAAAAAAAAAAAAGAAGAAGAAGTCAAGAGTAGGTGGTCAAAATGGACCCAGTAAAGGGTTTCTAGGCGACTTGAATTTAAATTATAATCGAGATTGACTAAAACCTCTTATAATTTTATTAGTTAAGATCTGAGAGTAGAGAATTATAAAAATATTTGAAGCTTAGCTAAGGGTATCTGAAAAACTCTCTTCAATGTTGATGTTGCAGTCCAATCTCTGTACCTCTGTTATCCCATTAATAAAATCTTCTTTGAGTAATTTTTAGTGTTCTTAGCGTTATAACAGAAGTATATTATTAACAACATGACTGGTTGAGATAAATCAAATGTGAAGACTTTTTTTGGTTTTTCAAAATTGAAGAAAGGTAGAGGAAGGTGTAGTTAAGTAGCTATCAGTGTGAGCTGTATTCAATTCATACTAATAAAATAACAGTGTGGGAATACTCAAATTATAAGTAATCAGTTTTTTTTTTTTTTAATATTGGAAAATTTGAGGGATAAAGGATATTTTTTAAAGTTATTATTAAATTTTTTATTAATTAAATCTAGATATTTAAGGATGGAAAAGAAATCACTAAATCTGAAAGCCGATTCAAGTAATCAGCTTTCCTCAAATCATTAATATCCTATGAAGAAAATAGAAAAATGATGATAGTCGGTCCAACCAAGATACTTACTTAGGCCAAAACCCCACTTGATGTCCTTGTCCCCATTAGGAGGTCCTTTTTGGCAACCGAAATGGAACTGCGGAAGTTTCTGAGGGTGGAAAAAAGGGCAGACTGGCCGTCTTAATTAAAATGTTAGCAGTTGCAAATTGACCCTTCAAACAAAAAGCATGCGGATATGTATAAAAAAATTTTTTTTTTTTTTTGATGAAATCAAACTAAAGTTACACACGACGTCAAATGACCTAATACCTGAAGTATACTCTTTCTTTCTCTTATGTGATGCCTTTCTCCCTAACTACACATATTATTACAAATGATATGGTTTCTATAATATGTTGTAAGGTAAGTTTTTAAGAAATGATGTATTATTATATAATTAAACAATTAAATCAATCAATACTTACTATTCATCATCTGTTATTTCTATTGTAGCATCCGTTACCTGCTATCCATTATATTTTAACTATAATATCAAATAGATGCTAAAAGTCTTAAACTGTTAGTTGAGTCGCCCTTAAAACCAACAACAATTCCAATTA